TAATTAGATCTGAGATCCCAAGAGTTACGAAATCTTACCAGATGGAACTTTGTTCCTCATCATAATCGGACCACAAAAAGGCAGTATTTTAGAGGTTGATGATGAAACGACTTGACCCAATTTCCACTTTGGAATCCGGGTCGAAATCCATTTAAAACTGACACTTGGTAACCGTAGGTCGTAAATGACCAAAATGCCCTGAAAACAGTAACATAAACCCTGAGCCCCTAACTCGTGACTGTGCCTGATAACTATAGGCTGCCTACGTACCCTTACTGAGGGATCAAGCCACACGTAGTTCTTTCCTTTGTTTCTAATCTGTAACTGGTTTGTTTATATGTAACTGGTTTATTTATCTGAAACTGGTTTATTTATCTGTTAAACTCGCTCTAGGGCTGACATATCTGAAGTAATCGGGACTCTGTTTTACGATCCGTCTAATACTATACGATCCTGGAATTACCTAGATCAACATACTTGAAATTGATTGCGATCCAATGGTTCAAACGTATCGAACCCGGAAATCACACACTAGGCGAGATTCGTTCGGGGTTCAAACATTATCCGAAATAAGATCCGCCAAATCTCACGCGCTCGTGGGGACTAGGAGATTATTCTAGGACTGACTGTGGTCCCCACCCTGCTGCTCATGCGCCGCCCAAGCGCCAGCAGCACGTGGTGCCTAAAGCGATAACGCTTCGTCGGAAAAACTCCGAATCACGGCTCAAGACTCCTATCCTAGGTATAGCACCCCATTTGGAGCCACTTTTGTTCTTGGATCTACCCCAAAAACTGGCCGGAATTGGCCGGAACAGTGACCCGAAAACCTGTTGAAACCTAGCTCGTAAATCGAGCTATCTACGCTGGAAATTTCTGAAATCCTATCCAACCAGCAGCTAGAGCATGAAAAAATAGCTAGAAATCCATACCTCACTCGTTCGATTTGGTTGCCGGACGACGGAGAACGAAAGCTTGGAAGTTCTGTCAAAAATTGTCCAGCACCGCCTGTTTCGCGGCTGTTTCCGGCGACTATGGTGGCGTATCGAGATGGCGAAGGGCTGGGGTTGGAAGGGGGAAGTTTGGTGGTTCGTTTGGCACTAGTCTTGCCTGAATCAGAGGTCGGAGCTGAGAGAAAAGAGCTCCCAAAGTCGGATGGTCGTGCCCCCGAAAACCAGAAAATCTGGGTTTATGTAAACTGAAGATTGAAATATTAACGGTTATGCCACTGAACTTGTTTTGATCGTAACTCCTTCGTTACAACTCCGATTTGAGTCCACTACGTGTCTACGGACTCGTTTCGTCGCGCTCTACGTAACGGTACAACTGAAATCCAAAAATTCATTCCCGGCCAAAAAGTCAACTTTTAAACTAATAATATATTCCAGGGGTATAAGTGTCTTTTACCATAATAAATTAATAATTAAATATTAATTAAGGCCCGGGTTGTTACAATCTACCCCCCTTACAAAAATTTCGTCCTCGAAATTTTACTTACCCTTCATTGGAGGGGGTGAGAGTACTGGGTATACGACTGCTACTTGGGTTCTCAAGTCTGCTCTTCTAGTACTGCACTCACCACTTGCATCTCAATAACTGTATCTATAGGGCAATCAATAAAATCTGAAGACCACACATTTATATCTGAAAACCTGGGCTGGCTTAAGAAAATATAAAACTCAGAAAAGATCTGATAACTAACTGAATTTCTGATAAATTTAAAACTCTGCTGCCATGAATCTAATATTTAGCTAAAAAAACCCTTTTTCCCTCTGAGTATCTGACACCTAGGTAATGTTGGGCACAAAAGACTAATTTTCCCTTTTTAACTGAACTTAACTGAAATTCTAGTGTGACTTTTACTGAAAATTCGGCAGAATCTCCCCTGTAAACTGAATATTTCCCAAAAACATTATGCCTGTAAAACAAGTATATATATTTATATAACTCATCTGCCAGCATGCATTAATCATATCCAAGCAATCAAGCATCATAATATTTTGGCCTCAGGCCACAACGATTCAAATAAATCAATCTGCTAATGAAATTCATGTCAACTTTCAGATTAATAAAATACGCTGGCAATCTCAAATATTCTAACTCATGCATTCTTACTTATGCATGATTATCAAATAGTAGTTCTGCTGAAAAACATTTAATGTATAATTCATCTTGCTCTGTAATCCTGGCTGGACTCAGGAGAGATCTGGTCAACCTGATTCGCAATTCTGGCTCCCACGGTCTGGATAACTGTAAGACTCGTGGGGCAAAATATGCTAGAAATACTGGAACTGTTTAATACCATATCCAATAATAACAATTAAAGTCATAGATAAATTAAAGCAAACTGGATTAAGATAAAATAGGCAAGCTCTGAATATCTTATATCGACCTCACTTAAGATTTATAAATAAACATATATGTATATATATATATATCCATATAGTACTTGTAAAACAATTGTGATACTGAAGAAAATAGTGGTAACTGTATAAAATCCTTAATTTAGTTTAAAAGCATCTCAAAACTGAAATTCTCTCCAACTAGGCGTACCCCCATATCTGATCCGTCAATTCCTGATAACCGTCAATTCCCCTAGCAGGTCTCGGTGACACAAAGTCAACCCGAGCTCCAAACTGGCAGGATTCAGGGGACCGTAGTCAGCCTGATCTGCAACTGGCAGGTCTCGGAGACAACCTCTCAATCTGAGCCGCAAACTGGCACCACACGATCAGGCGTCCCCAAACTCGTGGGGCAAAATAACTGACTGTACACTGGCACCACACGGTTCAGGCGTCCCCGAACTCGTGGGGCAAAATAACTGACTGTCTCAAGGCAACTGGGGGGGTACTCTGTGGTGGATTTGAAAATCATACTCTGTTATTTACATAAACTTTCAATAAACTGATTCTCAACTGAACTTATTCAATAAACTAGTTCTCATATGAACTTAAAACTATATCTATATATATATATAATATATATACCAAAATCTGATAAAAATCAAAAGTTATAATTCTTCCTTCTCAACCACTGAATATATAAGCAGGTGATAAATGAACAGATAATTAAATGCTCAACTTGCTAAACCCCAGTTCTCGGCATACAAGTATATATATATTAACATGCATAACAAGTTTTTCAAATGAAAACCTTAACAAATTTTTCCAACCCTTTTGGATACCTGTATACTCACCCACGCCAATGAGGTAAAATAACAAAATAACTGTCCAGCAATTTTGAAAATAAGGATGCACAAGTAATGCAAAGTCTACAGGAAGTTAACCTAATGCTCTGATACCAATTGAAACGACCTGACCCAATTTCCACTTTGGAATCTGGGTCAAAATCCGTTTAAAACTGACACCTGGTAACTGTAGGCTGTAAATGACCAAAATGCCCTGAAAACAGTTACATAAACCCTGAGCCCCTAACTCGTGGCTGCGCCTGATAACTATAGGCTGCCTACGTACCCTTACTGAGGGATCAAGCCACACGTAGTTCTTTCCTTTGTTCCTAATCTGTAACTGTGGTTTGTTTATCTGTAACTGGTTTATTTATCTGTTACACTCGCTCTAGGGCTAACATTTCTGGAGTAACTGGGACTCTATTTTACGATCCCTCGAATACTATACGATCCTGGAATTACCTAGATCAACATACTTGAAATTGACTGCGATCCAACGGTTCAAACGTATCGAACCCGAAAATCACACACTAGGCAAGATCCGTTCGGGGTTCAAACGTTATCCGAAATAAGATCCGCGAAATTTCACTCGCTCGTGGGGACTAGGAGATTATTCTAGGACTGACCGTGGTCCCCACCCTGCTGATGCTTCGTCGAAAAAACTCCGAATTACGGCTCAAGACTCCTATCCCAAGTATAACACCCCATTTGGAGCCACTTTTGTTCTTGGACCTACCCCAAAAACTGAACGGAAGTGGCCGGAACAGTGACCCGAAAACCTGTTGAAACCTAGCTCGTAAATCGAGCTATCTACGCTGGAAATTTCTGAAATCCTATCCAACCAGCAGCTAGAGCATGAAAAAATAGCTAGAAATCCATACCTCACTCGTCTGATTTGGTGGCCGGACGACGGAAAACGAAAGCTTGGATGTTCTGTCAAAAACTGTCCAGCACTGCCTGTTTCGCGGCTATTTCCGGTGACTATGGCGGCATATCGAGGCAGCGAAGGGCTGGGGTTGGAAGGGGCAAGTTTGGTGGTTCGTTTGGCACTGGTCTTGCCTGAATCGGAGGTCGGTGCTTAGAGAAAACAGCTCCCAAAGTGGGCTGGTCGTGCCCCTGAAAACCAGAAAATCTGGGTTTATATAAACTAAAGATTGAAATATTTACGGTTATGCCACTGAACTTCTTTTGATCGTAACTCCTTCGTTACAACTCCGATTTGAGTCCACTACGTGTCTACGGACTCGTTTCGTCGCGCTCTACACAACAATATAACTGAAATCCCCAAATTCCTTTCCGGTCAAAAAGTCAACTTTTAAACTAATAAAATATTCCAGGAGTATAAGTGTCTTTTACTAGAATAAATTAATAATTAAATATTAATTAAGGACCGGGTTGTTACATGGAATCACTTCTCTGTTTTTTGTAATTATATTATAAGACGTCGGTGGTTTAATATTGACGTTGTTTTAATGTATTAACCACGTCGTTGTTTAAGTACCATTGTTTTAAAGATTTATTACGTATGATGTCTGTAACCATGGTTTCTGAAGACCAAAGTAAGGACTCTAGCTCGAAAAAAAATGGAGGTAAGGAGCTTAGATTGGTAAATCCTCAAGACAAGTCCTTGAAGAAGATGAAGTTTGTTTCATCTGCTGAGACAGATCCAGGCAGCACGACAACATATTATGAGGAGCCAAAGTCAGGTCGAGGTATAAGCACAATGCCTCGTGTTGTGAAGAGAAAATATCAGAAAATCAAGCCAGTTGTTGAGTACAATAAAAGGGGGAAAGCATGTGGCCCTGCACATACTGAGATGCAGTCCTACATTGGTGTGTTGGCACGCTCCAGAGTCCCACTTGTGGACAAGAAATGGGCTGAAATCCCCAAGGATATAAAAGAGCAGATTTGGGAAGCTGTGGACATGGCTTTTGTGGTAGGTCAAGGGGGCAAGAAACTGGTGTTATCTTTTGCAGCCAAGAAATGGAAGGATTTCAAGTCTACAGTAACGAGGCATCATATCCTTCCATTCATCAAGGAGAAGGAGAAATTTAGCCAACCCCCTGAACTATATAAATTCATAAAGAAAGCAGAATGGGATGCCTTTGTAGCTTCAAGGTTATCCAAAGAATTTGAGTCTGTGCATTCTCAACATTCACAGATTGAAACTTGAGTACAATCATCGATTGTCTCGAAAAGGATATACTGGTTTGGAGGATCAATTGGAGGAAACCATGCCCGGGGTAGAAATTGATCGATCTACCTTATGGAAGAAAGCTAGACAAGACAAACATGGTAACATCCTGGATCCAAAGGTGGCAGAGAAAGCAAAATTAATTGTAAGCCTGCTCACTTTGTTTTAAGTTTTTATTAAACTATGTATTGCCCTGATAATTCGTATTACGTCTTATGTTATATTTTTGCGTCGTGTGAATGATATTACTACGTCGAGATGTTTTAAAAAACGTCGTTAAAGGTCTAAATCTGGAATCACTACTATGTTTTTTTTTGTAATTATAGCATAAGACGTCGATGGTTTATTTCTAGCGTTGTTTGAAACTTCAACCACATCGGTAGTTAAGTATGTATGATGATGTCGATTGCTATGTTATTGCGTCGTATGAAATGTTATAATACGTCGTTTTTATTAAATTTTTATTAAACTTTGTATTGCCGTGATAATTCTTATTACGTCTTCTGTTTTGTTTTTGCGTTGTGTGAATAATATTACTACGTCGAAGTGTTTTAAAAAATGTCGTTAAATGTCTGAATCTGGAATCACTACACTATTTTTTTTTTTGTAATTATAGCATAAGACGTCAGTGGTTTATTTATGGCGTCGTTTGAAACTTCTAACCACATCGTTAGTTAAGTACCGTCGTGATAAATTTATGATGACGTCGATTGCTATGTGTAGGGGCTTTTTTTCTTCTGGCAGCTACAAATGGGCTGGGTTGCCGCAAGAAGCAAACTAAAGAAAATATCCCCTATGTATGAGTTCAAAGATCAGACCCCAAAATGTTTTGAAAGGATAGCAAAACCTTAGGAAACACCTTGGTTACCTTCACCAACAGAAAATAATGGCTGCTTACAGATAAATTCTCAATGCTTACAGGTAAGATGTTAGCTTGGCATGAGAGGATTGTGGCATGGGAGCAAAGTTGCCATGAGTTTAGCACTAAGGAGAAATTAAAATGTTCCTAGGGGAAAGATGAGGTATTAAGGTAGGTTTTGCAGAGAGGTTTGGTTGAGAATGAGGACAAGAGAGAAAAAGACAGTTTCAGTACTTCTTCCGGCAGCTTGACAGAATTTCTGTCAAGTGTTAGAATAGCCTGTCAAGAAGGAAACTAAAGAAGAAAGAGATGAACTAAGCACGAAAATTGCTGATTTTGAAAGTAAAAGAGGAAGCTTGCTCTCTGGTTGTGGATGATTTTCGTTGGGTAGAAGGGGCCCCATTTTATAGCCACTAGAAACTATCCTTTCCCAAGAAACCCTAATGGTTTCTACCCAATTTGGCTAAGCTCTTCCCTTCCTTTCTCATTTCCTCCCTTGACTTTTCCTATCTTGGTGAAATTTCTTCTATTTATTTGCACAAAATCAGGAATTTTGGGAGCTCAAGGCCCCCTTTCCCGTAGCTGTTCAGTGGGAGACTCCATTCTTAGCTATTTCTTCTTCTTCTTTCCTTCCTCCTTCCCTGACCAGACCTGCTGAAGGAAAGCAAATAGGTGCATACGCTGGTTTGAAGGGTGTTTCTCCTCATGGCAGCTTACATGCTAATATCCCTTGGGTCTTTGCATGTTTTTTGCTTTGAAACTTGTTTCTTCCTTCCCATCAACTCACGTGGTTTTCTAAGCTCCTTCCATGGCTTTGTCTTTCAGCCAAATGTTGGAGCCCTTACTGCCTCTCACTTCTAATTGTATGGGCCTCCTAAAATGACTAATTCAACCTACTAAACAGATGGGCCACTCTTATCAAATATTGGGCTATTGGGGTTAGCTTTAATGGGCCATTTTGATTGGGCTTTTTGGTTGGGTTATTTAGGTTGGGCTATTTAGGGTATTTTCCCTTTTGTGCTCACCCATATATTTGGGTCTAAGAAATGGGCTTGGGCTCCGAGGCTCCCAAGCAACCCGGAACCTCCATTTATAGGCCCATCAATGGGCCTCATGACAACCTATTACCATCCATACCACAACCCACTCAAGCAAGCCCCGGGCATTTGAGTGGCTTGGGCCCACTTTAGGCTTGTAGTGTGGTTGGGGCGTGACATAGCGATTTCTTGCTTGGCGTGGCATGTTGCTTGGCATGCTTTTTTAATTATGATGCTTAATGGATTTGTAGAGCTACATATTTTTTATGATCTTAATCTCGATTCCTAGCATGACAAATTTATTTATTTGGCGTGGCATGCAGAGCGTGACTTGTTCGTGGCGGATTTTATATGCTCCAAATTGGGCCTTTCCCGAATAATGTATCATTTTGGGTCATGAATTTATTCGGGCCCAACCGTGGATTTTTTGGTCTCAACACTATGTTATTACGTCGTGTGAAATTATATAATACGTCATTTTTTTATAAATAACCGTCGTGTGTTTTCTTGTGCTGACTTTTTTATATATATTTGTTTTAGGATGAATTGCAAAAACAAGTCTCTGAAGGCAGTCTTACTGTATCTGGCAGTAATGATGTGTTGACAATGGCTTTGGGTCCCGAGCATCCAGGGAGAGTTAGAGGGGTAGGTGTTGGGATTTCCCCTAGCCAATACTTCAATTTACCTAGACAACAGAGGGTAAAGTTTGCCAATCAATTAAAGGAAAGTGTAAGACTTGTCCTTCAAGAAGAGAATTTGAAGATGGAAGCTAGGTCAAGGGAAGAGACTTTAAAGATGGAGGCTAGAACCAAGCAATTGGTAGAGGTTGAGACGGAAAATTTTTTGAGTCAGCTTTCCCAACTCATCCCCAATTTTGATCCAAGCATGCTTAAACCGAAAACTAGCCCCTGTCAAAACCAAGGTCAAGAGCAAAGTCCCAAAAATCCAATGTCGGACAAAGCAAGCTGCTCTAGGGCTCTTGATGGGAGATCCCGACATTTTGAGGATGATACTGCCAAGAATGGGGAAAAGCAGGATGAAATGGTAACATCTCTGAACTTTGAATTCTCTGTTTTAAAAAAAAGCTATTAGACGTCGTTATTGTGAATCAAACTGTCGTTTGAAATACATACCACGACGATTTTATTAATAAACCGTCGTTCGGGTTTCAATACCACGTCGTATTTAGTTTACTTGTTTTACATGCCATTAGATGTCATTATTTTTGAAAACTTTTATGGTGATTTAGACGACGGGTTTAGTCCTTACCGACGTAATAGACAAATCCCCACGACGTTTATTATTTACCATCGTTTAATGATTTTAAGACGTCCGTAATTCTTACATACCGTCTTATGTTATGCCTTACCATGACGTTTTAATTTAATTTTTTTACTTTTTGTACAATCTGTCTTATATATATATATAATTCTTTATTTCTTAAAACAGAAATCTAGGGATTTAGAAAAGCAAGATGAAGAAAAGAAAGATGAAAAGCAAGATGAAGAAAAGCAAGATGAAAAGGTAAATTCTCATAACTTTGCCTTTTTTATTT